TCGGTTCCAGTCCCTGTATGCATTTTACTCCAGGCACTATTTCTCAAGACCATTGAAGCACGTACATTGCGGCTTCATTGAGCATGGCGCCTAAGCTCTCATTCCTATGCTCCCAGATATCAGGCCTTCCCTTCCCGGTCCTCCCATTGATTTAACCCACGTTATCTGAACAAACTGTGGACTCCTATCTCTGGTCGCATGCGGCATCTCAAGTGGATTTCTGGTCCATGTTGGCCATAACACCGAATTCCCGCGACGGTTTGCTTATCAGTCTGCCCCGCTCCCTGACTGCCAGACCCCCAAAGTTTTACTGGTTTATTCAAATGCACATCACTCACTGACAACGTATTCGCTTTATTGCCGAAAAACTCCTCCCCCCCAATTTCCTCGTCGCGATCCCTTTCCCTCCGGTTAGCGGCAGATCCTTGATCCAGGCCTCTTCTTTTTGCTAGTCTTACCCTATTGTTTTCACGAGTTTGTTTAGGTAGTAGGCAAAGTTATCGCTAACTCTACCTTCCTCCAATCTCCTGTTCATTAAATGTGTCTCCCCAAGAACGTCAATGGCCTCCCTAATCTTCCGCTTCCTTGTGCTGGCACCGTATGGAGCTCTTCTTTCTGTTGTCTTCCAATTGATCTCCTGTACAGTCCGTGCGATATGTTCTGCTAATTCTGATCTTTCGATCCATTTTCCCCTGCAGAGCCTCTGATGTTCCTTGATTCGTGTGCTAATTTTTCTCCCTGTTTCGCCAATATATTTCTGCCCGCAGGCTCCGCATGATATACAGAAAACTCCTGAACAATCCAATTCGCCTACTCTTTCATGCTGCGTTTGTAGACTTGTGTAGTGTTGATTTCTCTTTTATGTCCACCTAAATAATCCATTTACTCAATATTAGTCGTAGTTTTTGAGTTAGTTCGCAGGAAGGTAGGTATATCCACTTTTGTTAATCCTTCATTATCCTTACTGTTCTTTCATATTCCCCGTTCTGCCATCGGCTTTTCACGACCCGTATGTTTCTTTGTATCACTTCGATTGGGTAGCCATTGCTGAGAAATATACTTGTCCCTTTATCCAGCTCCTCGTCCCAGAAATCTGCAGCGATGTGGCTTAGTTTTCGGATGATCATGCTCCTCCCCATCAGGTCGAGTAATATACTTGAACTAGGGAGATAGCAGACATATCCTACGGGGCAAGAGTGAGACTCTGGTAGGACCTATTAAAGGATTGCGAAACAATAGGTCAGATTCTGATCAACATTCTCAGAACAAAGGTGATGGGGATGAGAAAACCAGTGTGGAGTGTAGAGAGTTCTCATGAAAGCCGCTCAAAAACACACACCATACCACATTTAAATAAGCAAGTAAAAATTGTGATAGCGAAGATATAGGATTGGTGATTAACCTAGAGCGGAGAGATATTACAATTGTTTAGTAGACAATCGGTCAAAGGATCGGCTTCACTTGTGTCTTTGACGAGTGGTAGTGTGATGCTAAGAATGACAAGAATCATTGACGATGCTTGTGAAACGTCTGGGAATGTACCACGTCAACTATCCAACTCTGGAAATTATCATGCACACTATTGACTCCGGACTAAATGCGTTCATCTAGGTCTTCCCACCAAAATGACCAAGTTGCAAAGACATGGTCAAACAACTTCTATACAACAAAAGGGACTGCGACCACACAAAAAGCCACACCATCTTGGTTTCCATTCATTCGATAAAAAATATATGATTTTTAAGTTGATTGTTGTAATAGGTCAAAGCATTATTGGGCATATTTATGTTTATTTCAGCGGTTCTATTCTCCTTTTTATCCATCACCCGTTAGCCTTACAAAATAGGGGAATTCGTTAGAAGAGTAAACTCTTTGGCAACTTTGCGCACCTCGATTTGTGTACGAACCACAACCAGAAGAATCAATTCGTCCGGCACCTGTTGACGTCGCACTTCTTCCAGCCTCGAGGCATCAGAAGTAGAGTTAGTAGAGGTTGAGATTGAAGGTGAAGAGGGGGAGGATGAAGAAGAGAGGGAAGGGGAAGAAGATCCGAGCACAATTGCAGGGGACCGATAACCCGGAGGAGTACTGAATGTGAGCAATAAGCGAGTTTGTTCACCTATAGCCACCAGTTGAACGGGGAAAAAAGAAAGGCTACGCGGGGGTGTCGGTGGTCCAGATGAGACAACAGGAGCTAAGTGTCCGGGATCAAGCAGAATCACTTCACCATCCGGAGGTAGCAAACTAATGAAAAGGCTGACGAGAGTTTGCTCGACTCTGGAAAATTTATTAATAAAAAGATATAATGATAAAAAGTAAGTGGGTGGACGTGATC